TGACGCCATGGATAAGAATGATACGATCAGCGGCTGTATAACTGTAGAAGATATAGAAGGCTGTATCAGAGAGTTGTACTCGCTCAAATTAAATGGCAAAACAATCCGGGACATGATGAACTTGCAACGTGAATGCAGGGCACAGAATCACTCGTCAGGAAATGAAACCAATTATGTCATGACTGAAGGATTATTGCTTTCCAAAATCAAGATGTTCGTTGATTTTGCTGATTTATAATATAAAGCATATACACCCGAAATATTGAGTAATGTACAATTAGTAATACTAATGGTAACTGATTGTAATACTTGGAACAATTTTAGATTTTAATCAAGAATGTATTAATCAAATACAATATGGTATTTTTTTTAAAAAGTTTAATAACTAGTGTTGTATATTGGGAAAACCGGATATTAAATTGATTGACTAACCAATATGTTATATTTGTATTAACAAATTAAGATTTTTAAATATATTTTTCTTATTTAATTAGCATTTAATACATTTTATTAATGCAAACAAAAAATCACATCGAAAATAAAATTTAAATTTTAAAACCCCAAAAAATTCTTAATTTTCGAAAACAATGATTTCTCAGACATAACATAATTAACGACTTTATCGGTCGAGTGATTATTAGCCCGGACTTCGTGTTGGACGTCCATCATTTGCTTAATGGTTGGACCGTATGATTTGAGCGAGTACAACTCGCTTATACTGTCGTCGATATCTTTCACCGTTATATACTCGCCAGTTGTATCGGCCTTTTCCATAGCCTCGGTCAAGTCATTCATTTGCTTGTTATATGAAGCAAGCAATTTCTCCAGTTTATCTATAGTGGATCGATTATTAGCATCGTGCTTTTCGGTTTGAATTAGATACTGTACGTAGATGTCGAATGCATCGTTGAATGGTGTAAGAGCATTTCGTTTTAAAAAGCAAACAAACTTTGCCATACACCGAGTAATAGTGGCTAGTTCTTTGGATAATTCACCCACGTATGCTTCCATTTCCTGTAACTGTTTACGTTTAGCCTCCGACATCTGTTCAGCGGTAGTTAAATCTTTGTACACCTTTTCATCTCTAACCTCCTTGACCTCCATTAATGACTCGTAGCTTACATACAAATGTACCTGGTAACTATGACCACACTCGGAGCACTTGTCGCTTTTTAGAAAGAATCCCTTTTTAAATACCCTGCATGATTGTAGACTTGTGTCCCCTATGATATTACTTGGCGTATCGCTCAGGTAGCATGGTGAATGGCAGTTTTTCTTATAATGCGATTTAGCAATACCATCTATTTGTGTTTGTGTACAGCACCCTTTGTGCCCGCACACCATCTTTGGCTTATCTAATGGCACCGATATTACAGTCATTTTCGGGATATACAGCTTTTTCTTGAGCTCTTCGATTGTGCCGTTAAACTCGTCGATCGTTTTCTTATGATTTTCACAGAGTTTTTGGTTATCGGATATAGTCTTCGATAAGTCGGCCAATGGTTGCGTCAGTAATACTATCTGTTGTTTGGCGTTGTTTAGGGATACCGTGTCCTGGACTTTATGGGGCGGTAGGGATACTATGTACTTGAGCAAACGTTCGCATTCCTTTACAGACCTAGGTGGAATTAACAAAAAAATTTAACATTGAAAACACTTAAAAATAAATTCGACTTAAACTTTATGATTTATTGTTAGTATTAAGTGATTTAACATTGTTGATTTATTAAAACATATTTATAATTGGGTTAATTATATTAAATTTTAATTTCATGGATTTAAATATAAAGTTTTGTTTAAATTTTTAGCCTGCTAACAGGACCTACCTATCCCAGCTGGTAGAGTGTTGCCGAACATACAGTGGCCGAAATGGGACGTCATTCGGGGGAAGTATAGCCACGAGATAACGGAAGGCCTCGTTATCGAAACAATAGATTCTGTCCTTTTCGTAAGGTATGTCCACGTGTGGAGGCTTGGCACGTAAATTAGCAAGGAAGTTTTTCAATACAAGTCCAGTTTCACCAGGGGCGTAGTTTGTTTGCCTGGCATTAGTAAAGAGGAACAGTATGTTATCGGCCGCTGACTTATTCAAGTGACTCAACAACTGTAACAAACAATACTTGAAAACCACGTCAACTCTAGCGTTATTAGGCTTTAAGAGCACACAAATGGCGTTAATTTCCGGATAATTGCTAATAAAGTCCAACAGATTTTTCATGTGTTTGTTATCCTTCTCAATACCTTCTGTATCGGCAATACCCGGTGTGTCGATCAGATTTAACACAATATCCTTATTTAAATATTTATAGCATTTAGGGTATTGTGTGGCCGACTGTGTGGGATCACCAGTGTTTTCGTTGGCATCATCTCGCGAGCCAAATTTGATCGGGGTTATGTCATAAGTTTCCGGGTCAGTGTAACTAAAGCTGACAGGTATTTGACATAAAGGTGTCCCATGTCTGGCCGACTCCAAGCTATCATACGTCATATAATTGACAAACGAGTTGATGAACGTAGACTTTCCCACACCAGACTCGCCAATTAATAGTATAGTTATCTCTTTCTTGATAGATACAGGCTAAAATAAAAATATTTATAACACTCCTTGTTAAATTTTATTACTGTACCCGTGATAGCGCTCTTTTTGTTGCTGCAGGGTGATCTGCCTTTAATTTAGTGCTCATACTTTTGTCCATTTTTATTACAATAGCACTGAAAATTAATAAATTCAAAATTTAAATAATAAATAAAATGTATTTTACTTATAACTTACACTTATACATATTACTTAATATATTATATAATACCTAGTGCAGACTTTAAAGTAAACTTATAATAGAGCCGTATCTAAAGGACTATTAATTGGTGTTTAGTTTGCAATGAGAACTAAATCTAAGACTTTAATCATAATAATTATTATGTGATTATCCGATGACTTACCTGCCCATCGAGGCTACCCTTCCCTTTCTAAGATAATTAAATTTTTTACGCAAGGAAATAGTTGTAAACTTTAAATAATTACAAAACTAAGTTAAAGTGAATAAATAATATACTCATAAATTGAAAATTTGCTCAATTTATCACAAACTGTGTAAATTGAGCATTGTCTAAAACACAATTTAACAACTAATTTTTAAATTAAAAATAGTTAACTAGTATTTAGAAGTAAACAAATAAAAAGAATATTTAAAACAACTACCTTGTTATATTAATTAATGATATTTATAATACAATGAATATAAATAAATTCATTATTAATTTGCTTCCACGTCATCAAGGTAATAAATCACTATCAGAAATCAATATTAATATTTATTTAGTTTTAAATTTTTATGTTTTATAATAATTTGTAATATGAAATGTTAAGTGGTTAAGGGATTATAATAATCTAAATTCTAACTTGTAAGATATATTATAATCAAACATTTGATAGTGCAAAGTTTAATTGTAACTGCAAGTTTTATTAAAAACTTTTACAGCAATTAGTTTAATAAAATTTTTTAATAATATTGTTTTGTTTGTTTAGTACAGTATCTTATAAAGGATTTAATTTTTTGAGATAATTTTTACTAATAAGTGGTTATAATATTATTTTGATGGGAATATAAAATGTTTAAAGTACACTAATCTAAATCATATTATATTGAATTGATAATAAATAACAAACTATTATTGAGTAAAAACAGAAATTTATAATAAAAATTAACTTATTATACTCTATACCTATGGTAACATAATTAATGATTATAATAATTGACTATTGTATACAGATAAACTACTTATAGTTTATTAAGTTATAGTGATTTTATTGAAAAATATTAATTTTTAAAAATAATTTTAGAATAAACAATTTTAATTATTTTTAAGAGTACCATGGCCCAAAAGGAATTCACAATTTTACTACTGGGTGAGTCGGGTGTAGGGAAGTCCACATTCATCAACGCATTCGTCAATTATATGACTTACGAGACGTTAAATGAGGCCAGAGATCAACAGCCTGTATGCCTAATACCCACAGCATTCACAATGTCTGACACCGAGACCTATGAACTCAAGACTATAACCTTTGGTCCGCACGAAGATCCCAATGAAAACATAACCGACTCTACACTGTCTGCCACTAAATATCCTCGATGCTATAAGTTAGTGAGTCAAGATATCATACTTAATATTATAGATACCCCGGGTATTGCCGATACGAGTGGACTTAATAAAGACAATGAAAATATGGAAAACATTTTGAATTTTATTAGCAATTATCGTGAGATTAACGCCATTTGTGTGCTTTTAAAGCCTAATAATACTAGAGTTGACGTGATATTCAAGTATTGTTTGTTTGGGTTATTGAGTCATTTGAATAAGTCGGCCGCCGATAACATACTGTTCCTGTTCACCAACACACGCAGTACCCAATATGCCCCTGGTGAGTCCGGTCCTATTTTGCTAAACATGTTAAACCAAATAAGGGATAACCCGCCAAATGTGAACATACCTTACAGTAAGAAAACAATCTATTGCTTCGATAACGAGTCGTTCCGTTATCTCGTGGCTACTGTTCACCCGAATAACATGCAGTTCAGCGATGACTTAACACTGGAGTATGAAGAAAGTTGGGCAAGGTATTTATATATTTTTGAAAATTTCATTATAAAATTAAAATTATTTTAATTTAAAGTTCTGTCAGAGAATGCGATCGACTACTGGAGCGCATAGTTTCACTCCAACCCCACAAAATACTGGACACCCTATCCCTCAATAACGCCAAACACAACATCCTATTACTGATTAAGCCTTTGGCCGATATCGCCAAACATATCGCCGATAATCAACACCAATGTGAGATACATAAGCGCCGGGTCAGGGAGTTTACGGGCACAATAGAGCAGCTCCGGGAGGAAATGTATGTGCCATCTGTTGACATCAAGACTAAGTGTTTGGATAAACCGAAAACTGTATGCACTGAGGGGTCGTGTTGTGAGCACGTGGTGGTCAACGGTATGAGCCATGTCAATTATAAGTCAGAGTGTCATTCACCATGCTACATACCGTATAATGGTGGCAAGGTCAAGGGTAATAAAGGTTTACTAAAGTGCCAAGCATTCAATAAGTACGAGCAAATTGGAGAATGTCGTTATCATAAACCTACCAGGGTAATCCCTGATTCCGATATTCAATTAGATGAGTATGGCAAACTATGGGGCACTACGTTCATCAGGGTCAAGTCCAAAATGTGTCACGTTTGTGGGCACACCTATAAGTCACACCTACATATCACTTATGAAACTACTGTTGAAACTAAATGTATACCGAATGCAGGCAAACTTAATGACCTAGCTACAACTCAAGAGGCAT